ATTGTCTTCCTCATTAGATTATAAACTCCTTGAGAGCAAGCGCTGTCTTTTGCCTCTTTGTATCTCCAAACCTTAGCACAATACCTGTCACATAGTGGGCACTTAATGAATGCTTCTTGAATTAAATTGAAGATGGAATGAACTAGACTAGGGGCTGACAAACTACAGTACAAGGGCAAAGTCTGGCAGGTTTGTTTTTATACAATCCTTGAGCAGAGATTGGTTTTTTTACATTTTAAAATAAACTTTTATTGTATTTAAAAAAGAAGGAAAAAACCCAACATTCTTAGCTAGTAGGTAGTACAAAAACCTACTTCCCTTAGACAAGGCCTTCAGGCTTTTTATTTTTTTTTTTTAATTTTTATTTTAAAAGGTTTAACTGGAGTCCAGACCTGAGTCTGCTAGCATCTGAGTCATATGCATAGCTGGAAATTACACAAGCAGCTAGCAGCAAAGAAATGACTCATTCAGAAGAGGATCCACCATCTTTGGTAAGTGGGGTGGGAGATGAAAGTTTTGTAATAACTGCTTTGTTTTTAGCCTCCTTTCCCCAGGGATTGAGGCAGGGGGAAGGGGACAGGCCCATGATTTGGGAGTGGAAAATCTGTCAGCCTCAAGTCTCTACACTCCAGTTCATCTCCATTCAGCCACTAAGGTGATTTTCCTAAAACACAGATCTGATTATGTTACCCCACCCTTACAGAAACTCCCTCTGGCTTCCAGGATCAAATACAAAACGCTCCGTTTGGCATTCAAAGCCCTTCATCACCTAGCCATGCCCTACCTTTCCAGTCTTCTTACTCCCAAGCATGTACTGCAGCTTCTCAGAAAGGGGCCATTTCACAGAAACCATAAGATGCCTACCTGGAAGAAAGAAGAGGATCAGACTAAAAAGTCTCCAAGATCCTAGAACTAGGATGCTTGTGCTAGCTCTGTCCATCAGAGCTGGTATGAACCAGCTTAAGTCAGTTCTGTGGTCACCAGCAGAAGAATTTTCAGGTTCAGCAAGCAAACACTGAAAGAGGGAGTTCTAGGTTCAGCAAGTGAACTCTGCAAAAAATCTCTGGTATGTCAAACTTAAGGGATGCTCAGTCTGCCTCTTGATTGGCTGATTCTGATTCCCAGGTCAGTCTGGCCTCCTCTGCACAGTAAGGAAGTGCAAGTTAGTAAAGTCATTTTTCACATTTCACAGATGAGGAAACTGAGGCAAACAGGGTTAAGTGACTTGTTCAGAGTCACACAGCTAGTAAGTGTCTTGGGCCAACTTAGGTCTTCCAGGTAGGCATCTTATGATTTCTGTGAAATGGCCCCTTTCTGAGAAGCTGGAGTACATGCTTGGGCCACAACACAGTGGGGAAATTCAAACCCCTGGTGGCAGTATCTGATGAGACCATGACATGGCCATTCCCACTCATCTTTGTGGCTTCTGTGTGTGCTGCTTAAACCCAAAGTAACCCCAAAGTAAGCTCAGTTCCAGCTGTAGTGCCATATGCATGCTGCCTGCTTTGAGAGAAAATAAACATGCTACAACCTAATTCCATTTGTCTTTCTTAGACCGAACTCTGGAGGATGACAGAAATGACCATGAGACAGAAGTGGTAAACCACTTCAAGAGCTTTGCCAAGAAAACCCCAAATGGGGTCTCGAAGAATTGGACAGGACTGAAACGAAAAAGGCAGTGGTATCAAGTTCAAGTAGAACCTGGGCCTGCAGGCTGCATATTGATTTAGTTTTAAAATGTAATGTTATCTATTTGTTATTGTATTTTTATTTTATTTTGTTAAATATTTCCCAAGTATATTTTAATTTGGTTTAGGTAACACAGGAATATTTTGGCCTTAGGCTTTGTGTTTGACACCTCTGGCCTAAAGCACGAAGAATTTTCATGACTGGTGCAACATCAGTTAGTATTTATCAGAGGTGGGATGTGAACCCAGGTCCTTGTGGCTTGGAGCCCAACCCTCTATCCACTAAGTCATTTTGACTCTTTATATGCTAATAGTCTCCATCAAATTTCTTTCTTTCTTGAAAATTGTGTTGTTATTTTGTAAAGTTTGGTTTTTCTGTGACCAAGGCCCCAAAGATCCCAAGAGTCCTGGCATCCTAACAGATTTATGGCTGCATGCAGCAGGATGAAACAAGAGTTGGTAAAAGTTCAGGCTTTCCCCTCTTTGAAAAAGACACAGGACAGTTTAGTTCTCTTGTTTTTGCTAGAAATGGAGAAATTAAAGGGCAGAAGGTAACAGTTAGCCCCTGGGATCTTTAATTCTATTTCCTAAGCCCTATGGTAAGCCCAAGCTCCCAAGGGTGACCCTGTACCAAAGGTTTTTTGAAAAGGTTCATGATTAACTACACAAGTGGCTTTGTGGACAGTAGAGCTGAACCTGGAACCCAGGCTGGTGAAGTCACCTCTGATTTTCATGATTTTTTAATTTCAGTCCCCCAAAACTATGATAAAATGAGCTGGTCCATCCAGTATTACCATGTACCTGACTTCATACTGAAGACAAACATTTGGAGTACTCCAGTGGCCTATTAATCCTAGATATAGCATAACCCTCTGGAAGCTCCATTTTGGACCAGAATAGGCCCTGAATTGAATCAAAGGCAGAGCAAACTGTCTTCTCTGCTTTAAGGCATGCACACATTTATCTGTAAAATACCAAGCCAAAACCTTTTGGAATAATCACAGGCCATGGTCAGATTATCAGAAACTATGAGCATAAACTAACTAGAGTCACAATCATAGTATTTAGAGTTAAAAGAGGACTTTGGAAATCATCTGAATTGATTTTACTGATAAAGAAACTGAGGCCCACAAGAAACTTAGCCAACACCATTGCACTGGTGAACTGGAATTCCAAGTGGTCTTCTGATTCCAATATACAATTATGGTCCACAGCCCCAGGAAAGATTTTTTTTTTAATCAAAAACAATGTGGCGAATGACTCAACAAAGGAACCTTGGGGCTTTCAGAGGCCTGAGGTGGAGGGAGAGAAAAAGCTTGGTTATTGTGCTATCATGATTAAGAAGTCCAACTCCCTCATTTTGTGTGTGGAGGCAATGGGGGTTAAGTGACTTGCCCAGGGTCACACAGCTAGCTAGTAAGTGTCTGAGGCTGGATTTGAGCTCAGGTCCTCCTGACTCCAGGGTTGGTGCTCTAACAACTCCCTCATTTTATTGAAAAGAATGCATGTGATTACTGAGCTGCTGTTACTTATCCTCGAAACATTCCAGAGAATGGGAAAGATGTTGTCAAAGGACTGCCAAGTGAAAGAGTTGTGGCCTGAGTTGTGTTTTGTTTTGCTTTGTTTTCAGAATGGAGGGGGAGGGGGAGGAGGACAGCTAGGTGGTGCAGTGGATAGAGCTCTGGCCTTGAAGTCAGGAGGACATGAGCTCAAATCTGGAATCAGACCAAATACTTGATACTTACTAGCTGGGTGACCCTGGGCAAGTCACTTAAGCCCAAATTGCCTCACCAAAAAGAAAAAAAGAGTGGGGGGTCAAGGAAATATAGTAGGGCTTGAACAGGAGAGAACAATGGGATGAGTCTCCCAGTAAAGGTATGGATTGAGATTGCAGGGTATGGATCTTTGTTAAAAAGGGAACCACATGCGGAGGCAGACAGTTGTTCCAGACCTTGGATGAGAAGTCATAGGGAATACCTTTGCTTTGTCCTTCAAGGACTGGTGTTGTCTCATTGTAACTAGGGATCAAGAGTCTGACTTTTATCAGAGATACTGCCTGCTCTGGGGTCCGTAAGACTGAGCTATAAAATGATCACCCCTTCTACCTGTTTTCAGCTTTTCTTTTTATATGTTGCTGGCCACCATTCCTTCCTATTTATTATCCCTGCTACATCTATAGAATAGGTTTTCATTACCTCTTGCTTAGGAAATTTCAGTAGGCTCTAAATAGGTTTTCTTATATTCAGTTTCTCTCCTTTTCAGTCCATCCTTCTGTATGTTGTATCACTGTGCTCCAAAATTTGGAGTCCCTGCTGCTTAATGAACAAGATTCCAGCATACGCCTTCCTTGCTCTCTGCCCACTGAATTTTTTTTTTTACTTTTCAGGCAATTGGGGTTAAGTGACTTGCCCAGGGTCACACAGCTAGTAAGTGTCAAGTGTTTGGTCTGAGGCTGGATTTGAACTCAGGTCTTCCTGACTTCAGGGCCAGTGCTCTATTTACTGTTCTACCTAGCTGCTCCTGCCCCCTGAATTCTTATCCAACCTTTAGGGTCACCTCAAATCCTTCCTGTTCCTTGAAGTTTTCCCTTATCCTCCCAATTATTAAGGACCCTTTCTGTCTCAGACCTCACTTTGTTTTATGTCTCTTTCAGGTGCTTTAAAAAAAAAGTTCCTTTTAAAAAATTTATAAACTCTACAATCACCAACAAACAAAAACATACAAAAAAATTAAAAAGGATTGTATGAAACAATGAACTTTTATGATTCATAGTTAAAATATATATGTATATATGTATATGTATATATGTGTGTATATATATATTAGACAGTGGTAACAATTCTTCTATTTCCCCAAGCATTTGTAATTTATTTTTAGTTTTAACATTCACTTCCATAAGATTTTGAGTTCCAAATTTTCTCATCTCTTCCCTCCCCGCACCCCAAGACTGCATGTAATTTGATGTAGGCTTTACATATACATTCATATTAAACCTATTTTCACATTAGTCATGTTGTAAAGATGAATTAGAACCAGTGGGAGAAAAGTGGTAACAATTCTAATGTCCTTTTTATGTATTACAATTTTCTATGTTTGACTATAAGTTCAATTAGAGCAAAGGCCCTAACTAAATTTAAATTTTGTATCTCTCCTAATATCCATCAATATGTCTGCACACAGCAGTCTCTCTCTCTTTTTTTTTTTTAGGCAATTGGGGTTAAGTGACTTGCCCAGGGTCACACAGCTAGTAAGTATCAAGTATTTGGTCTGATTCCAGATTTGAGCTCATGTCCTCCTGACTTCAGGGCCGGTGCTCTATCCACTGCGCCACCTAGCTGCCCCAGACAGCAGTCTCTTTAAAAAAAAAGTTGAATTATTTAATTGAATTCAAGCTGTGTCACTTTCATCCCTACCTTGTTTTTTTCTGCTTCCCTAGCCTTTGCTTACATTCAAACCAACTTGAACCTAGGAACAATAAGGAAAGTTGAAAAAATTAAAAAGCAATAGGTGTTTACTATAGGCAGAATACAAAGAAAAGAAGAGCAGAGACACAAGAGGGGAAGACAAGTTGGCAGGTAGATTTACAGCACAGTTGCTGTTCAGTCATGTACGACTCTTCCTGACCGTCTCAACCTTCATTTGAACTCAATTCCTGCCTAACTCCAGACCCAGTTTTCCATCCACTGTCACACCTCGCTGCCCCTCATAGTACAGTACTGATAGGGAATTAGAAGAGTGCTGGTTGTCATTTAAGACTTTTTTTTTAATTTTTAGGCAATTGGGGTTAAGTGACTTGCCCAGGGTCACACAGCTAGTAAGTGTCAAGTGGTCTGAGGCTGGATTTGAACTCAGCTTCTCCTAACTTCAGGGCCAGGGCTCTATCCACCATTTAAGACTTTTGGAGAGTGGCTCAATTCCCCATTTCAACAGGAATGTTGTTGTGACAGGATTGTTGTTTAAATGGCTCCTTGGAGAAGAGTTTTCTGGAGAAGGGTTGATCTAATGGAAGAAGACTCCATATATTTCTATTCAGTTATGTTCCTTCTTGATGCAGAGTGGCTCCTTGTTCCATTGCTCAAAGACCTTCAAAAGCTTCTCATCACCTACAGAAAGAAACCAAAACTTCTTAGAACGTTCCAGTGGTTGGCTCCACCCAACATTTCACAGAACCATAAAATTTGACAGTTGGAAGGGAACTTAGAGGCCATTTAGTCTAATTCAAGCCTGAAAAGGAGCCCCCACTACAATATACACCCCACTTTAGGTGGAGTGCTCATTCCCCCTCTTCCCCAACATCAAATGTCAATTAGCCTCTTTGCAACTTGTATCATTTGCTCCTGGATTTCCTCTCTGGGGCCTAATAGAACATATCTAATCCCTCCTCCACAGGAAACCTCTTCTAATAATCAAAGACAGTTATGCCCCCCTCTCCCCACCTCTGAACCTTCTCTTCTTCAGGTTCACCATCCCCATTTCCTTCAGCTGATCTAGATATGACAGAATCAAGTCACTTCACCACTCTGGTTGCTCTCCTCTGGGCCCTCTTCCACTTATCAATATCCATACTAAATGATGTCCCCCAGAACAGAATCTAATACTGCAAATGTGATCTTTATCAGGGTTGAGCACAGCAGGACCCTTACCTCTTTATTCCTGTAATTTATACATTTCTTCATGAAGTCTAAAATTGTATTAGCCTTTTTGGCTGGCCATATCATATTGCTCCACTAACACCCCCAGATCTTTTTCAGATCAACTTCTGTCTTACCATGCCCCTACCATATGATCTTGGTGAATTTTATTTTTTGAACCTAAATGCAAGAAGTTACATTGGTTCTGATTGGAATTTTCCTTATTTGATTCAGATGAATGCTTTAGGCTCATTATCTGGTTATGTCAGCCAACCTTGTCAGCTTTGTATTGCTTGTAAATTTGAAAAGCATTCCATCATACCTTTATCCTAAGCGCTGACAAGTGTGTTAAAGAACACAAGGCCAAACATAGCCTCTCTCTGGAGAGGCTCTCCACCAGAGGCTTTCTGACAAATTGACATTGAACTATTAGTGATTACTCTTTGGGTCCAGCCATTCAACAAATTCCAAATCCATAAGACTGTTTTACATCTAGCTTACACCTCTCCCTTCACTTTTTTCCACCAAGAAGCATGAGATACTCTACCAAATGGCAGCTAGGTGGTACGGGGAATGAGTAGTCACTGGACCTGGAGTCAGGAAGATCCAAGTTGGAACTTGCCTGAAATACTTACAAGCTGTGTGACCCAGGGCACTTAACTTGTCTGCCTCAGTTTACTCACCTATAAAATGGGGAGAATAGTACCTACCTCCAAGGGTTGTTAATGATGCTGAGAAAATATGTATAAAGTGTTTAGCAAACCTTGAATGCTATATAAATACAGTTATTATTATCAAATACTTCACTAAAATCTATATAAACTACCTAGAAAGTATTCTCCTGATCTACCAGTTGCATAATCCTGAACAAAAGGAATTAAAATTAGTCTGACATTTTCTAATTCCAATCAACAAATGAGTATTTAAGCGTCTACTATGTGCCAGTTATTGTGCAGGGGTTATAAAGACAAAGAAAGAAACAATCCCTTCTGGCAATATATTACATTCTAATGGAGTATAAATCCATGTAAAACATACAGCATAGAAACACACACAGAGTAACTAAATATGAGATAGTTTAGGAAGGAGGGTGCCAATAGTTGGGGAGATCAGGAAAAGCTTCATGCAGAAGATGCTTCTTAAACTACGTCTTAGAGGAAAAAGAGAACTCTTTGAGATGGAGATAAAAATGGAATGCATTCCAGGCATAGGGGATGGCCAATGCAGAGGCATAGAGATGAGAGATGGACTATTGTGTCTCAAAGTGCAGGATGGAAAATAATGTAAAGGAGGCAGTTGGTGGCGCAGTGGATAGAGAGCTGGCCCTGGATTCAGTAGGACCTGAGTTCAAATCTAGCCTCAGATATATAACACACAAATACAGGGGGCAGGAAGGTCAAGGAGCCAGGACAGAAGTTGTTTTTTGGGTTTTTTTGGTGGAGGGGGAGTTGGGAGATCAGCAGAGTGGTATTTTATTGTTGGCCTTTGCCTTCTAATCTTGTCCTTGATGACACCTCATGAACCAGCACCAGTCCCAAGAAGTCAGGCCCTCAGGGTACCACTCTTTGTCACCTCTTACCTTAGATGTTGAGGCTACCTGAGTTTAGGAAGGAGAGCTGACCATAAGTAATCTGAGGAACCTTCTGCTACCCATTCGTGCCTTCCTGTTCTGTGGGATTCATATCCATATCCTCCCAAAAATTCACCTCAAGAGGTCCACCCATTAGGCTAGGGGCCTTCCTTGCCTCCTCCTGTCTGAAAGACACCAGTAGAGTACTCTGCTTATCTACCTTACTCTTGCCATAAGACCAATCCATCTTTTCTTTCTATCATACAGTTGTCCGATGAAGGCTTTTACCCCTATTCTTCTTCAAAAGTCCTTGTTGGCTATATATTGCAGCCTGCTCATACTCACCATCTGCCTGTCTCTATTACCCTGCGTGTGATACTCATTTTTAGTGCTTCAGAGGCAGCGGTACGGCATGCTCTGTTGCCATGTAGGAACCCTTAAAATGTTAGTATTAAAAACATGGGCCTTTACTTTCTTAAAAACTGGGGGGAAATGGGGAAGGGGAGTGGTCAGAAAAAGAGCTTTGCAATTTTACCAGAGCCACCGAAGATGCTCTTCATCTCCTGTTCAATTCATTGTCCCTCTGAACTTCCTGTGCAGATACCCTTGTCCAATAGTAATTGGAAGAGTTCTATAATAGAGTATACTGTTCCTAGTCCTCAAAAATGAATTGTTCCTTGCCTTCACTACCATCAATTACCTCCTCCAAGGCCCCATGAAAACTTACCTGAAAAAACATAATTGTCTGAATCCTTCTTAAGAGGATTTCACATTCTGGAAATGAATAAGAGGAGGGTCACCTAAGGAATTAATTTATTAAGGAAATATGTCCAAGGGGAAGAGCAACATGTTATTTAGAATAGTAAATACTAGGGCAGCTAGGTGGCACAGTGGATAGAGCACCGGCCCTGAAGTCAGGACAACCTGAGTTCAAATCCAGCCTCAGACCAAACACTTGACATTTACTAGCTGTGTGACCCTGGGAAAGCCACTTAACCCCAATTCCTAAAAAAAAAATACACACACACACATATATGTATATATATAAAAGAATAGTAAATACTGGACAATGGACTTTTATACTCTTCACACAGAAAAGAGAGGTCTGAGTTGGAAGGAGATAGATAGGCTAAAAAGGACCAAGGGGGTCCGCTAGGTGGCACAATGGATAGAGCACCGACTCTGAAGTCAGGAGGACCTGAGTTCAAATCTGGCCTCAGACACATAATATTCACTACCTGTGTGATTCTGGGCAAGTCACTTAACCCCAATTGCCTCACCAAAAAAATAAAATAAAAGTAAAATAAAAATAAAAAGGACCAAGGAAGTTTCATGTTTAAAGGTCTAGAAAAGCTCTTATGACTCCCCATACCTGACAACCACAAGAATTATGATGGAGATGATAGTAAAAATTCCAGTGAAAGCTCTATCGTTAGTGCCAGTGGGCATGTTCCCAGATGTCGTAGAACCACGTGGATATAAGATAGGTGTTGCTGTCTCTGAAATAAAGAAAGCTACTTTAAGTCAGAACACTACCCTGTGTCACCTTTAGAGCTCAGGTACAGAACCAGAGGCAAGATTAGGGAAGTTTTTGCAAGTTGTGAGTGGAGGCACCTGTCTCTAGGTGTTCAATACCTGTCTTCTCCGGATTCTGCCTCTGGTAATTCCTGAGATCAGCAGCACAGTGCCCCAGAATATAGGCCCAGATGGTCAGTTGAGACTTATTTTTTTCTAAAGTTTTCTTGACTTCCTGGGCCTCCGGAGTGGCTACTGTCCAGGTCAGGTTCTCCAGGGATAAACTGAGGAAGTCTTGTCCATTATATCTGTAGTTCCAGAAGCCTTTGGTATAGCCGTCCATTTGGAGCTCACAGCCCAGAATGACCTGGAGAGTATAAAATCCTGACCGCAACAAGTTACTACACTGTATCTGATACTTTCTTATGTCTGCCACGTAGGTTCCATAGTGATTATACAGCTCCCCCATCCCAACACACACAAAAAAACTTCATACTCACTTTCTTTTTTTTCAGTTTTTTGATAAATGATCCAAAGGATTTCTGCCAGCTCCTTCTCCTGTTTCATGAGATATTCAATATCTACTTTTTCCAACAACTTCCAATCTACATTTTGACACTTGACTTCACAGGACAGGATTTTCCTGTTATTTAAGTAGCCATGGATCATATATGAGAACTGTTTCTGTTCAGGGTAGAAGTTTGCAGTTAAATTGTACCAAAGCTTTTGGGACCCTGAGAAAGACAAGAACAATACATCAGTAAATATACGCTCTGGTTCTAGCCTCCAAGTGTCACTGTGCTATTTTCATCTAACATTCAACAAGCACTTGATGAAAGGGAAACAGATAAAAGTGAAAAGTAGTCCCTATTCATCTTGCTCATACAAGGTCCTGAGTTCTGAGCTATAGTTACCCTGATGTTGAGTTTCTGAGATTGTGTTTTATTTATTTTTTCTTTTTGGAGGCAATTGGGACTAAATGACTTGCCCAGGGTCATACAGCTAGTAAGTGTCTGAGGCTGGATTTGAACTCAGGCCCTCCTGACTCCAGGGCTGGTGCTCTATCCACTGCATCACCTACTTGTCCTGTATGGTTCATTTTTGAATGTGACAAAGTTATAGTATCCTGATGAGATATGGAGATCAGAACTGTTTTATGATTAAAGGATAAATGTAATTTATCTGAATATAGGTGGAAAGTGAGATTTTGGGTTCCTAATCATAAGGTTCACAGAGAGGACCCAGTCTGAACTCAGAATAATAAGACAGATAAAAGGACAGATGTCAGAATTGCATCAGCTAAACTTGAATCTAGAATTGATAAAATTGTTCTTAAGGATGAAATTCAACTGAACACAGGAATATTTTGGAAGCAGAGAACCAGGAGTCACCTAACAGATTAACTACTCTGGCTGAGACATAGTGCCGAGTGAGGTGTTAATTACATGAAGGATCTAGCAATGAAATCATTTGTTCAAAACCAAAGCTGTGTTCATCAAGGAACTTTAATGGACTGTTCCTGAGACCAAAAAAAAAAATAGTAATAATCAAAGTTTCCAAGTCTAGAGTTGTGAATTGCCTCAAAAATATGGGTTTTCTTCAGTCATGTGCCTCCTTGGAAGGTTTCTGTGTGTCCACTCTTCTTCACAGATATTGAGTGCATCAGTAAAGTGAGAATGTGACCAAGTTTATATGTATGAATTGTGATATGCTTTATTATTCATGCATTTGCTTTAATCTTTGAGTACCTTGGCTTTATTTCTTTTGACTTATTGTCATATAAATGTGTCATTATTATAAATGGCTAGTTTTATGTAAATGGAAGCACATTGGTGGAGGCTCAAGAGCTACAGTGGTGAGTAGAGAGAATTGTATTCCCCCTACTTACCACTACAAAGTTACTACTACTTCCCCCTACAAATTTATCCCTAGGACCTAAGAAAGGTCCACAAGATGGTTCTGCTCTGGAAACCTAGACTTGTACTGATTTAGAGCAATTTAAGCCAGCCCAGAGAGTAAGTATTCATATGCTATGTGTAAAAGGTGTGAGGCATTTCAGTTGGATAATTATCCCATGCGCCTATTACATTGATCTTCTCCAGGCTGATAAACTCGCCTATTCTTGCAAGCTCAGAAGTGATTCTTTCACCTCTGATCCCATACTCCAAATGTTTTCAAATTGTTTGAAACAAATTGCCACTTCCAATACATTGTTTAGATAGCTGCACAAAATATAGAATCCAGTTGAGTACTCCCATTTCTCCTTCCTTTGGGAACAATTGTTTACATGCCCAGGCTTGCATGGAACAGAGTCAATGGGAATGCTCTTCCAGAGTGTGCCAACATATTAGCCCAAGCTTTATCCAGGTCTGTGAGGCTACTACGTGCAAAGTGCTGTGTTGTAGCAAAGCTACAGAAAGAAAAGAGGAATAGTCTATGCCCTACCGGAGCTTATATTTTAGCCTATATTGGAAGTAAGAGGGAAGATAGCATAAAACAGTACATATACACAAATACACCATGATGCCACTTTAATGAACACTACCAAGGAGTCTCAGGATGTCATAAGTAGCTATGGCAACCAAGCAGACTTTTACCCAGGGGTCACAGAACTAATGATGGTGGCCTTAGAGAGGATGCTGGGAGGAAAGATTAAATCCATCTTGTTAAGCTATGTGGAAGAGTAGAAAACAGACTAAGGGATCAGAGTGAAATGCTCTTTCTCTAGGTACTTTCCACTTCAATTTCTGAGACTCTTGTGGCTTACTATGGTGGATGGTAATGAGTGAGAGCTGCAAGATGGTGCCAGTGGAAGCAGCTGATTGGGGAGTGAGCTGATCATGAGCACACACATGAGTTAATGACACTTGTTTTTTTCCTTTTTCCTTTTTCTTCTTTCATCTCTAGCCAATGAGAGGCCCTCCATTAACTATCCAAACATACACTTACTAATTCCCCTTCATCCTGGAGAAGAGAGGAGTTAAAGGAAGAGAAGTCTATTGTGTTACCTTATCAGCTTCTTGTAGTGGACATCCCCACAAACCTTTCTCCAACTGATTTCTGTCACTCCCTGGTTTATAAACTTATAAAAGAAAAGGAAAACCAGTGGTCACAGATTTTACCCAGGGTCAATTGGAGAGAGGAGAGATTTTTGCCCTTAAAGGGAAACATTCCTCTTCCTCAGCACAAGTCAAGATGGGAAGGAAAGGAGGACCTAAATCTTCATGACACAGAGAAAGTTTATAAATCTTCAATATCCCATGGATCTAATAAGAGAACTCCTTCAAGTGAACTTGAGCCACTTAACTGAGGACTTGGGAAGGGGTGCTGCAAATGAAGAATGGCATTCAGATAGTTTAGCTTTGGTTTGCTACAATGGTCAATTAGCTGAGAGGATTTCAAGCACCAAACCAAGTTTCCCATCAGAACTAGCCACTTAGGTGGATTAGTGGAATAGGTTAGGCATACAAGACACAACAGTCAGTAACTATAGTAATCTACTATTTGATAAACCCAAAGACTCCAGCTTCTGGGATAAGAACTCACTATTTGACAAAAACTGCTGGGAAAACTGGAAAAGAGTATGGCAGAAACTAGGCATAATAGACCAAAATCTCACACCATACATGAAAGTAAAGTCAAAATGGGTTCACAATTTAGATATAAAGGCTGATACTATAAGCAAACTGGGAGAGTAAGGAATAGTTTACCTGTCAGATTTATGGAGAACGGAAGAATTTATGACCAAACAGGAGACAGAGAACATTATGAAATGCAAAATGGATAATTTTGATTACACAAAATTGAAAAGTTTTTGCACAAACAAAGCCAATGCAACCAAGATTAGGAGGGAAGCAGAAAACTGGGAAAGAATTTTTACAACCAGTATCTCTGATAAGGGCCTCATTTCTAAAATATATAGAGAACTAAGTTAAATTTATAAGAATACAAGTCATTCCCCAATTGATAAATGGTCAAAGGATATAAACAGGAAGTTCTCAGATGAAGAAATTAAAGCCATCTATAGTCACCTGAAAAAATGCTCTAAATCACTATTGACAGAAAAATGCAAATCAAAACAACTCTGAGTACCACATCACACCTATCAGACCAGCCAACATGACAAAACAGGTAAATGATAAATGTTGGAGAAGACGTGGAAAAATTGGAACACTAGTGCATTGTTGGTGAAGTTGTGAAATAATCCAACCATGTTGGAGAACAATTTGGGACTATGCCCAAAGGGCTATAAAAATGCATAACCTTTGACCCAGCAATACCACTTCTAGGGCTGTATCCCAAAGAGATCATACAAATGGGAAAAGGACCCACATGGACAAAAATATTTATAGCAGCTCTTTTTGTGGTTGACAAAGAATTGGAAATTGAGGGGATGCCCATCAATTGGGCAATGCTGAATAAGTTGTGGTATATGAATGTAATGGAATACTATTGTGCTATAAGAAATGATGAACAGGCTGACTTCAGAAAAACCTGGAAAGACTTGAATGGTCTGATGCTGAGTGAAGTGAGCAGAACCAGGAGAACATTGTACACAGTAACAGCCACGTTATGCAATGACTAACATTGACAGACTTAGACCTTCTCAGCAATGCAAGGATCTAAGACATCTCCAAAGGCCTAGTGATGGAAAAAGCTATCCACATCCAGAGAAAGAACTGTGGAGTTTGAATGCAGATGGAAGCATACTATTTGCTTTTTTCTGTTGTTGTTTTGTTTTGTTTCTTCTTTCTCATGGTTCCTCCCATTGGTTCTAATTATTCCTTACAACATGACTAATGTGAAAACATGCTTAATATGGGGCAGCTAGGTGGTGCAGTGGATAGAGCACTGGCCCTAAAGTCAGGAGGACCTGAGTTCAAATCCGGCCTCAGACCAAACACTTGATACTTAACTAGCTGTGTGACCCTGGGCAAGTCACTTAACCCCAATTGCCTAAAAAAAAAGAAAAAGAAAAAGAAAAGAAAATAGGCTTAATATGAATGTATACATAGAGCCTATATCAGATTTCAAGTCTTGGGGAGGGAGGTGGGAAAGGAGGAGGAGAAAAATGGAAAACTCAAAAGCTTATGGAAGTGATTATTGAAAACTAAAAAATAAAATAATTCATTAAAAAAGAACTAGCCAATTAAACAATATATTATTGTTACACCCAAGACAATTAGTATATTACAGATAAGCACTCCTTTTACATGTGTGGGCATACTATAGGTGAGACCCAATCTAAGCTTATTTTCTGTGTATGATTCTATCCTGTACATTGGATAACATTCCTTACAAGTGGAAGCTGCTATTTCTTTTATATGTGGGAGGATAGTTCTCTTTACCCTAATCCTAATTTCCCTAAACCTAATCCCAGGACTCCATTTTTCCCACTAGTTCACCTTGTTCAGAAGTACTATGAAGGTCCTCTCCAGCTCTCTCCATTTGTCATTTTCCCCTTAATCTGCCTCTCTATCTCTCCAGCCTTTTTTTTTTTGTAATTTAAGAACATGAAAATATAAGAACCATCTTTTACTCCTAGATATTCTCTCTCCTCTGAGTTTTTACAACACTGCTCTCTCTTGGTTTTTCTCTTCCATATTTGACAATTCTTTCTCAGTCTCTTTGCTGGATAATCATCCATGTCTTACTCTTTAAAGCTCTGTCTTTTGTTTCTCCTCTTTGCAATTTATATTCTCTCTTGGTGATCTCATCAGCTCCTCTGGGTTTA